TATTATTATTATTATTATTATTATTATTATTATTATTATTATTATTATTAATGTACTCTATGGTAGCTGCCCAGAGTTACTTGTTTAAGATGGGTGGCCATATAAAGTTCCCAAATAAATAAACTGATCAATCAATCAATAAATAAAGTAATGGAATGAGGTTCTTGCTGAGATTCCAGTGGCCCCCACTCTACTGGTATTTCAAAGGACCCTAAAGACCTGGCTCTTTGCCCAGACCTTGGGCTAGAGAACATGAAGCCCCCTTTTTTGCTTTGTTCCCAACCAGTTTTGTCATTTCTGCCCTCTTTATTCTTTTCTGGTTTGTTTTGTTGTTTCCTTTTCTAAAAAAAACGTTTTAACAATTTATAAACTGCACAGAATCACTGGGAGTCAGGAGGCATATAAATTATTATGGTTGGATCGCACAGTCAGCCAGATGTTTAGACTGGATTTGGCATTTTTATCCACCTATCGAGTCCTTCCCAAGGACCTGGGATAGGCAGATGTTGTTGCTCGATGGTGTTAAAGGTATCGTCGCAGGATATAAGCTGTTTCAAGGAAAGGTGCCTTTTGCAATTGATTGAGGGTGATTTTGTCAATGCCGATGATCTTCAAGTGGTGCTCCAGATGTTTTGGGATTGCACCCAAGGGGCCTATTACTATTGGTACTATCTTTGCTGCTGCTGCTGTTATTAGTATTATTTAGCAGACAGGACATCTGTGAAAAACACAGAGTTCTATTAATGATGGTCAAACTATTCCCCAAATTTCCTATTTCATTTTCACTGCTCTGCAAGGCAGGTTGAATATTCATATTCTTCCTGTGTGCCATATATATCAACTATTGTAAAGAGAACATGGAACACTTTTTCTAGGTCTGGCAGTAGCCATCTAAAGGCACTAATACCATTTTTTCACTTACAAAAGGCCCACTGGATTTTTAAAAACTTCTCTTTTTCCTGCACTAAAGTGGTAAAAGGCTTGTACAAAATGTTCATTGGGGTTTTATTTACTTCAAAACAGCTCAGCTAGAATATGGTTGCTATGTCCATTTAAAGGGCTGCATTTAAAGTACCACCCAAACATATTTTTAAAAGACAGACAGTAGCTTAGTAATGTTCAGTTTTATTTGCTTCAAAAATGCTCAGAACAGGATTTGGCTTGCTATGTTCATTTAAGGAATTGTATTACCCTTACGTCTAACCCTTAAAATTCTTAAAAACAAAACAAGCCCCCAGAAAGTAGGGTTACCAATGATCTAGGGTTTCCCATAGTCAGTAGTGACAAGATTAGGGTTAGGGTTATTGAAGATGACTCCCTTAGGGCTGTTAATCGTTAACATTAGAGTTAGTAAATAGTCTTTCTGAAATCATAACGTCATCATTTTGGGAGAGGGTTCATGACCAGCTGAGGCCTGCACTAGGCAGGCCTTGTTTACTTATGTGACATCACTGATCAAAACTATTCATAAGAGTCCCAAGATATATAGTATTCCTACTCTCCAGACCTTCAGGCAGATGCTGATATATCATCCTGCATGATTTTTCCTGTTCTTAATATGCCACCATATTGTATCCATTTACTTGGGGGTAAGCTTCAGTGAAGTGAAAATGGCTCACTCCTCAGTGAATACGTATAGGATTGCACTGTAAGTAATAGCTTGTGAAATCCGACATGCAACATTACTTGATGTTAATGTCATCTGAATCTGCTCAGATTCAGAACTCAGATTTCTGGCTAGGAAATGTTGTAATACGCAATTTTCCCCAGGTATTTTACATAATTAACATAGACATATGGGATCAGTTAGGCAGCGATTCTATGTTCATTTAGAAGGAAGGATACCTATTATACTGGCGATTAAAACAAGTATGATTGGAGTTGGGTTTGTCTTTGGCTGCCCTGACTTCTCTTCTTTTCTTATTGTGTTTTTTTTGGTTTGGTTTTAACCCTATGAATGCTGTCACAATTGTGAGTTGGGTGGATATATAAATTGATTAAACAAATAACCATAAACAGATATGTGTGTCCACTTTACTTGTGTCAACAATGAGATCCAGATGTTTCATTGTTACTATTTTCTTTTCTCCACTGTTTTGGGGTGGGGTGGGGTAGGGTGGGGAATGAAAGAGCTGGCTACTGGAGAGAACCTACAGGAATGAATGTGCAGTATTATTAACTATAGCAAGCTATTTTAAAATAAATTCTTTTTTCCTTGTTTTGACAGATGGGAAACAGCATTATAAATTATAAGCGAACAATAAAGAAAAGAAAACAACACTAGGAGGCAACCTTTCTTCCTTCCTTCTTATATGCAAACATCATATATGCATAGGCAGAATCTGCTAATTCTGCCTATGCATATAGAAAAGAAAGAAA